TAAATTTTATAATAGAGTACCAATATCACATTAAAAAGTTTGTTGTACTCAAGTCTCAAGTTTAGATAAACCGAATAGATTTATTATATTATAATAATTATAAAAAGGACAAGGTTTTTTCAATGTTTAATAAAATAATATGTTATTTAACTCTAAACGTAATTCTTCAACTATATAGTAATAAATAATAAGCATTTTAGGTTGTGATATAAGTTATATTAAGTTTATAATATGACAAATACAGTAGAACTCTGGTTATTCGGACTAATTAATGTCAATGGTGATCCAGATAAGCAAATATCCGAATGATTGACTTATTATAATATGTAAAAAGTTAAATAATTGCATGAATATATATTCGCGTAATAATATCTATTTTTTTTTTCATAGTATGCACTACACGTTTCCTATCAGACGACATTGTAACACTGAAATTCATTCGTTATAACGATTGATAGACTAAACTGTACGACGATTAGACAACAATACTGACTATTACTACAACGAATAATACTTAATACTTATTCTTTATCTAATCTACGATTAGGATTATGAGAAACGACGAAATATAATAACGATTTACGAGTTATTAAAAGACCAATTTTTTTGCTCGTCCGGTTAATTGGACGTCCTGTTGATTGGTGTTCGGATAATCGGAGTTTTACTGTTATTTGATTTTTTATCTTACCTCGGCCAAGAGAAAGTTTGCATTTTATATTATGTAACTTTGTAAAATTTGTAAGCAATATTTAAAATAATCCTACGTATTATAATATGTTTTATTAAAATTTTCTAAAGCCAGTCAGCAGTATTCTTAAGTATTCTTAATACTTTAGTTATTTATATTTCTGGTAACATATTGTACAACAATTTATACAAATACGTACTTACATATACTTGTATGAACGGCATGGTATAATTCTATGATAAAAGCTTATGGTTATGATACTGATGATACTGACAATATATATAATCTTACAATATAAATTAATAAATCCATAAAATCAAGTTTCTAGATTGCATTCTAAAATTTAAAATTTTGTAACAAAACATTAAAAAGTGATAACCCTATTAAAGTGCTGTTCTAAGCGATTGTCCTCCTAGCAACCTCCTCCCAAATGTGTGTACCATATTGTACGGAAGTACCGTAGACCGAACGATTCTGTCGGAAAAATAGAAAGAGTATTATTAGTTTTTTGGTCACGTAATTTCAAGCCGAGTAAATAATTTCAATAATAATAAATAATAATCTGTATTAGACGGACATCGCACGTGGTAGTAAACGCGCGGTTTAGATTGTCAATGATAGTACGGTCTCGGTTCGTCCATTGGCAAACCAACTACATTACAGTGAGTATAATATAAATATATTATTGCGATCGCAACTTAGTGCGAGTCAATTGTTGTCCTGGCACGGTACAAATGGACAATAGTACAGTGTATTATCGCGGAATTCGGGTCATTACGCGGCTTTTGCTCGTCTGACTATTATGCCGTCCTAGACGGACATGCGCGCCGGTCGACAACAATTAATGTCAGAGTAGCAAAAAGCATCAAGCCTATTGTATGCACGTAAATTGTGTGTGTGTCTATGGGGGAGGGGGGTTGTATTCATTAATTTATATTACCAAGTAGAAGAAATTGTACGTGTATATTTTGCATTGTTGTCCGCATATCTATGGAAACTTGTCTTACAATAATACTATAATACAGTTAATTTTTTAATAAACAACTTATCATATAATGTATAATGTAGTTTTATCACGATTTTTAAACGAGTAATTAATGACGAATACGAAATATAATATTTTATTAATTTAATAAGAAGTATATTTATTTTAAGAATATTTTTACTAAAAAATGACTTACGGTTATTCAATTTTAGTATCTGAGTTCTAATTTTAAATTATTTTTATTTATTACTATAAAATATTCTGGTTTGATGGGATTAAGTTATGAGAGCAATATCTATGCGCTTGTTTTTGGCTTTATTAGTATTGATAAATAAAATGTAAATAAGTAAACAACGGACAAAAAAAGTAAAATGAAAAAAAAAAAATCCGTCGTTATAGTAGTATTTTAAAGGTAAATACGGTAACTTATTAGAAATACATGCGTAACGAACGTCTTTTACTACGAGACTGTTTGTCAAATATAACACATTTTTATGTACGTACTATGTGCTCAGAGATTATATGCATAATATATTGTATTACAGTGCTGTAGTCAATTTTTTTTTTTTGCGGAGGAGGAACTCAACTTTTTCTCTAATTTTTGCAATATTAAAATATCTACGTATCATCTATTATTTAATAACTCATTTTTTTATTAACTGTTTGCTGCACATTTAATTTTTTTCTTATGACTTATTAACCTTATGTTAGTAACTACCGTATACATTTAACACAACTATGTAATAACATTATTGTAATTTTGTAGGGCATAGATTAATTTGTTACCTAATTAATATAACTAATTATATTAATATGTGTTGTAAACATGAAGTTTTATTTTTAATTCTAATATCATTACTTACAAAAATATAATACCATAACTTTCAACTTTTATAATTGTAAAATATAGTATAATATTATAAACAAACCATAGCTGACCTTACACAAATAGAATGGATAAAAAAAAAGGAGATAATTATGAAACAAATAAACCTATTAAACAAATTTAAATGATTGAAAACATAACAAAAGTCATAGTTTATACACCAAGTTGCAATAAATAATTAATTGTGCGGCGGCGTGTGTTCGTAGTATTTGTACGACCTACATACCAAATATATACTAAATAAATATTAACAGTAGTCTTCAAGTTACATTATTTTAAATTATAACATTGTGTTTTGGGAGTTGTGGTTATACCAATTATTTATATAACTATATGTATGTACGTAGTACTGTAATTAGATATAGTGTGTGGCGGGCAATTCATATTTGTAATTTATAAATAAATATTTAAGATAATGGTGGAATTGAAATCGATCCATTATTTTAACATCATGCTTATAATATTTAATCATTACTATTTGGCATTTATAAATTAAGTTTAAGTTACTTTGAATAATATAAATATATTGATGATATAGTTTATAAGTAATTTCTGTACACTACACTACAACCAAAAAAAAAAAAGAAAATCTCAGGCAAGTGTATGTGACCCCAGTGCACCCCCTGGCTACAACGTAGTTGCGTTATCGTAAACTGATTGAAATCAAAATTATTAGTAAGCAAATGAAGTACTTATCTTAACTCTAAGGTTATTTCGAAGGACCCTACTTAGTTATATTTAAATTATGCAAAAGGAAACCATTTATTTTTTTGGTTTTGAATATATTTTAAATATAATATACAGCGTCTGTAGCAGTTGGTATTTAATAGTTTTTAACGAATTGTTATTTTGTGTTAAAATATAGATGAATAGCAGGCATACATATATTACAATTATTATTTGAGTATAAATCGTTTAAATTTTCATTTATCTAAGTCTAAAACCATGAATTTGTTATTAAATGTAAGTAGGTACGTAAGTGTAGTTATAATTACAAATAGTTGAGGACAGAATACCAAACAAAGTTTCATAATTTGGAAAATGTAAACATTTTTCACAATTCTGTCTAGTGTAGTATAGTTATACTGTATTATAAAAAATCTTTTACAAATATCCATAAATAATATATCATACTATATTTAGATACAAAATACTATCTTAGTAAAAGTCATTAAGCCAAAAAAAACTCTTAAAACAAGGGATTACTCGATAAACTAGATTTAATTAGATTTATCGTGTATACAGTCTTCAGTTAAGTGTACTTAAAATTATCAAGGCTATACATCTTCTAAGTAAGTATTGAAGATTACGATAATTTAGCCATACAATTATGCATTACTTTTGTTTCTGAATTGAGATCTAAATAAATTATTGAATATGTTAGGTATTTATATATATTTTATGTTTGTACATTTTATGAATTAAAAGTAATTAATATTTTTTTAAATTAATGTTTAGACATAGTTATGGTGGGTAAATAGTTAAACAAAAATAAAGTTTATAAAAACTACACACAGGTCGGTTTATAAATTTTAGTTAAAATTTGTTTGTACATATTTATTTTTATTTATTATATAATATAGTAATAGTAATATTAAAATGTATTCATAAAACTTTGCCGTGGAACCTATTTTGCAGCATCTGAGCAGACTCTAAAAATTCGGCTTGAAGACGAAACTTCATTTTAGATTAATTAAAAATATATGAAATATTTCGTTTTGATATTTCTACCGTGACTAATTTATTTATTCGCTCTTGAGACTTTGTAGTAATATCCGTTACCTAGATTTTATCTCGATTACATGTTCTTTTCTATTGTTTCTATTGAGCTAAACAGATTTTTCATATTATGATAAAACAATAAAGATAAATGTACCTTTAAATAATAGTTTGCTAGTTTTAGAAATCATAAATGTTCATATTTTATGTTGGTTTACAACATACAATTAATTCCTTATTCCATAACGATAGCTACTTAAACAATTATATTTAATTAAGATTCTAAATATTTATTGTCTAGTTCTACTTAAATATTTTTTTTTATTTACTTTATTTAAAAAAACGAACATATTTTCATAATGATTGAAAAAATGTATATTTTTAGTCTTTATTACTTTAAATACAATCTAGAAATTTTATATTTAAGCTGTTATTACTTCTATTTAATCATTTGAATCTATACTACTAGGTAAAGTACTTATAGCACTAAAATATAAAATAAATAGAAAATTGCAGTTTTGGTGTAAAAAATATTAAATCAAAAATTTTATCTGTAAAATTTTTTTTTGCAGTATAATAAATTATAACTCAACACAAGATCACTGGAATATTGATTGTGTAATCATTAGTATTAGATTATAAAATTGGAAAAAGTTGGAAGAAAAAATAATTAACACCATATAATTCAATAACTTATTTCTACTCAAAATATTTATTATCTGTTGTCTTTTATTTAATAAAATATTCTATAGGTACCTCATATAAATTTTTGACATAATTTGAATTTGCTGATAGTAGAATAGGTAGTTCAATAAATTAATATATTATTGTAACGGAATATTTAGTCACACTGCGTTCATGATTATTATTTAATTGATTCTAAAAATAAATGCAATTATTAATAATATTATTAATCATTGTTTTAAGTTTACCCACTAATTTTTGATGGTTTATTTTTAATTTTTCCGTTTTTGCTTTTTTTATCACTTTTCATTGTCTTCAATAATTCAATGTCTTGCTCGTATTGTTTTTTAATCTTCATTACTTTAGCCGAGTATTTTGTTATTAATTTTTGTACTGAAATAAAATAAATCGAATATTTTATTGTTGAAAAAGACCTTATATACTATTATATCTAGCTTGCCTACAGGGTAGTACTATAAAGTATAGTATGGCCTATGTATGTAGTTATACTTACATTAATGATGTAGCCTTTAGTAATTTACCATGTATGTTTACTGTTTAATTCTTTTAACTGTAAACCAATATTTTGTAGGATGTCACTGTGCCACTCAACTCCACTCATCCAAACTTTAAATATTTTGAATGCGAGTTTACTACTAGTTCAGAATTCAATTTTTAAGTATCAAAAATCTTAAATATTGTGTATGCAATTTAGAATGTTATTAAAAAATAAATTATTTAAAAAATAATGACGATAAAGAATAAAATATTTAATTTAATGAATTTAAAATATTTTCAAAAACTCACAGTCTTGTAAACATTAAACCTTATCTTGTAATATTGTTTACAATGCCGTACAAACACCTTAATATTTTATGAGATAATGAATATTTACTGTTAAAAGAATCATGCCGTATATGTTATAGTCATAGATGATATATTATAAATGGAAAGAGTATACCCATAGTAATCGCAAGATTACCTCAGAATGGAGTTAAACTAAAGTGAATTATGAATTGCGCGATATTATCAATACGAATGAAACATTAGATATTTGTGTAATGGATACGAAAAAAACTTCTTTAGTTCAGCTTCAGCAAAAATTTTGAGACTATGTCCTATTCGTTTTTATTCTCATAATTTATTATAGTGAAGTAACTAGAGTTCCACTCGAGGAGCGCACTCTATTATGTGTATACAGAAGGCTGATGTATTATTAATATATAGTCCACGACTTTTGGTAACTAATGAGTATTAAAAATATTAACACTTACTTTTATTCGTTACAGTATTCTCATATAATTTGTCTAGTTTTTTTTTAAATGTTTTATTATTCATGGTTCTTTCATCTATACAACCTTGGATTATAGTGGCAATATTTAATAACATATTTTCAACTAAACCATTGTTTTTTTTGTTTTTTGAAGAATTATTATTATTTTTGCTTTCGAAGTCGGAAATAGTTTTTTCTAATTGGAGATCGGATTTCGATAATGATTTTTCAGCTTTTGTGTAGTTCTAAAATTAAAAAAAATATATCATTGAGATTAATTTTTTATAGTTTTTGTATTTGCTTAATTTATAAGGATATAATCTGTCCATGTATGAAATTATGATAGTATTTATGAGTTATGTTTTTCGTTTGGAATTCGAACAAAATTAACGACTTTTTAATTAATGTAGAAAAAACATAACAATTGGGGCGGCTGCATTGTGTATTTATGGTTGAATAAAGTATTTTATGTCATTATATTATTATTATTATATTATAATAATTTTCCACGTATAATTATTTACATTTTTAAAAATTGTTTTTGAATTTTTATAGAGATAAATAATATAATATACAATAAATAAACAATAGGTTTAGGTGTTAATGGTGAAAAGATCATAGACACGAAATATTGATTAATAAGTCACCCATTGATGACATTTAACTTGGTTTATGTTATTTACACGGATTTAGAAAACAAATAGTAGATGTATAATGCATAAAAGTAACTCATTTTCGTAGTTGATATTTTGATATTTGTATCAACAATTTTTGTTAAAATAGAAATACTTATTTACATAATTAATTTTTCTTTGTGTGTGTAATAGTTTACATTAAAAACTACCGAAAAACTGATGATTGTTTTTAAGTATAAATTAATTAGGGTTAATCTTACAATCGTTTTAAAAATTGAAACTCTAATTTTGTCAGTATACATACTATAACTATACAAAGACAATATTAGACTACATCAATAAAGATAATAACGCTGTATATGATTTTGTTGTTTCTGTTGTAATTAAAAGTAATTATTAGTAAAAGTAAAAATATTTAAAAATAATAGATAATCATTATTTTGTGAATTTTTTTAAAAAGTCAGTTTAAAAAGAGAAAGTTCTAAAGTAAATAATTATATGCAAATAATTAATGACATATTTTTTGCCACTGGTACCTCAATGAAGTTAATTATTGTTTAATTGTCGAAAGATTTAATAAATAAAAATAGACTAAATTATAATATTTTATTTTATGATACTTACTGTGTGTAATGCACATGCAAGAACTATAAAAAATACTATTCCTTGTGCGTAGTTAATGTTCATCTTGTGATGAAAATTATTTCTGGATTACAAAAATTTGTAGCAAACGTTTACGGTTGGACTGTGAAAACGGAAAGCAGCTCAAAGTTGTGTGTTGATCGTATTGTAATTTTTTTTCCTACACAAGTGTTAAATGAAAATGATCTAATTTTCAAACATTTTTGTTCAAAATAGAACAATAGAATCGTATTATGAAACAAATTATGTATTCAATAAAAAAGTTTATTTCGAGTACTTGATTTTTGTGCTGTCTTGAAATCAATATCGTATGTAAGATGTATATAATATATAGGTGTGTTGTGAAGAGTCGCATTAAAATTTTAATTGGTAGTATACTAGTATATAATATTTGATTTTTCTAATAAAATTCTTAGCGAATAAATTTCGGATAAATGGTTTTTAAAGAGCTGTTTACAATAATTTTGTTTTTGTACACTTTTTAGTATCTCATTTATTTTGTGAATTTTTACAATAATTATTTAAATCGTTTGAAAAGTACAGTAATTGGCGTGTGTTTTTATTATAGCACGTTATTATCTGATAAACAACATACATATGTTTGTAATTAAATCGAAAATACTGCTGTTTTAATTATTAATAAACATGTTCAAAAATTTACTAAAAAATGTTTGAAACTGTTAAAAATATTTATATTTTAAATTTCACTCGTACAGTTGCGATCCATTCTTAAAAATGAAGGGCAGAACGTTAATATGCATAATAATTGTATTGGGTGTATCGATGCTGCAGGTAACTTAATTTTCTTATAGTTATATACACGGTAATAAAAATACATTTTTACTTGAAATATTTTTTGTCTGTGTGTGTAGGACGTACGAGGCGGTAAAACTGTCAGCGATAAGAAATTGAAAAAATGGAGTGAGAAAAATGGAGATATACATAACGATGGCATGAATTTTAAAAAAGTAAATTTAAATGATAACGCTCAACTGAAGGAGCGCGGAAATGAGTTAGAAGATTTGCTGGAAGTTATACAATATGTGATCACCAATTCAATTAATGACAAAGAATTCCGAATGTTTTTGATTAAGCGATTCTTACACAATTATGTTAAACAAGGTACAAAATATTATTAAGGTTTTCATTAACTAATTAATTAGTTATAGAATTTACAATAGAAATAGAGGTATTTCACATGCAATTGCGTTTTCGGTTTTAGCATGACAGAATTCGAAACATTATTATGTCCAAATTAACAGTGAAAAACCTTAGTGGTCTGTAAATATGTTTAAATTACTGTTAGAAAATATTACTTATTTATAATTGGTACTTGCTAAAAAAAATAATTGTATGTCATAAACATTCGTAAATGTAATGATTTGATAGATTTTTAATTTAAAATTTTGGCTTATGAATATTTTGAAAAATTATTTTTGTAATCATTAGGTAATAATAATTTTTAAAATATCAAACACAATACATTGAAAATAAGTAATTTTAAAAACTTTTTAGTGTCCTACGAAAAATGTTTTGTGTGACTTATTAATTTTTTTTTTTTATGCTTTTGACGTAACCATTCTCTCACTTTGAAATACTGGTAATACATATAGATATTACACATTGTCAATTTTTCCATGTTTTTTTAACGCAATATTTCATAACGGTTAGTAATCTTTGTTTTTAATTTAAAAGTCGATATAGAAATACTGAAAACATTACAGAAAATTAAATTTTAGGCTTTGAGAGTTTTGATCATTGATCTTATTATTTATAGTTTATATAGTTACAGTTATAATGTAAATAACTCTAATGTGCTAACAACCGTCAATTACAACGTGCCCAGGATAGAAATTTCGTTTTATTTAATAAAATGATTTTAAAAAAGAAATTTAGATTTTCGTTGACATTTAAACTCACTTTTTTTGAGATTTAATTAATACATTATTTAACTGAAATAATAAATTTATGTATTTCATAACATATTACTTTAAAATATTTTGATTATGGTTTTTAGATTTTATTTATCATAATTAGGGTTTGGGACTTATAACACTAAAATATGAGCTTAAAATAATATATGACCTGATAAACTTAACTTAAAAATATCCACTAAAAATGAAAAAAAGCACTTCACAAAAAGGATTAATTTGATATAAATATAAAAAAAATTGTAATTTAAATATAATTTTTAGTTAATTAATTAAAAAAAAATTAAATAAAATTTTTAAATATTGGGTTTTGAATGTTCTGAAAAAAATACACATTTTTATATAATATAGGTAAATATTTACTAAAACTTTGTTGTTATTAATAAAATGTTAATCTTTGTGAGTGCATTAAACTATAAGGTGTTTTCAAATTGGAAGACTTCTATTATCGGCTAGAATATGCCGAAAATGAACATTACACATCGACGGAAATAATGGAAGTATATTTGAAAAATACTAGATCATATTAAGTACGATAAGTGCGAATATCAGACTATTTTAATTAATCATATCAGATAACTACATGGTTTTCGATTTGTGAAGTATGTATAAATCACGTTCATGTGCAACATTTTTGTGTCAGATAGCTACACAAATAGTACTTTTACACTCAAAACAAATTTTTGTAATTAATTGTTCAACATTTTAATTAATTTATTTTGAATCAATCGATAATAACCGTTAAATATGCATCAGTATAACAACAACAACAACGACAAAAAAAAACCTCTAAAATATGCAAAAATATGCAAAATAAAATTTTACATTTGAATTCTCCGTTTTATAAAATGTATTTATATATTACACTGCTATGTTTTACATCACCTATGATTGATATGCAAATGCTATAAGTCCCGAACCCTGATCATAATCGATAATCCAAAATGCAAAATACAAAAAAAACGTGTAATTTTTATTTCACGTGCTTCAATTTGAGTGCTATGCTTTAATACAACAATAACTGCAGAATGACCGCCTTCGCGTGACAATATTTCATGTCAAGCTGGTTACCTGGTTACTCAATACATTTTACATTTATTAGATGGATTTAGTATCACGGAGTAAAATTTTTGGAATTAATTTACAGTGATGTTTGTAACACATAGGAATTCAAATTAATCTGTCTCAGTAGTCTATGTAATTGGATTTGGCTCTTTGATAAATTTCAATTGAAATCGTATCATTACGTATAAATCGCTATCTTGGTCTAATATCTGGGATATATTAATTTGCTTTACGTAAAGATCTACTCAAACACTTGAAACGTAATTGATGCTATCGCGCATAAACTGATTTGATTTTGTCATTACTATCAGTTCCTTATACGGTAATGTGTTTTGTTGTGTAATAAGTCGTGTTTTGGATTTTCTTCAGTTCTCGAATGAACACTTGTACAATTTGTGGGCATATTGTACGTAAATACACCATCCGTTAAACAGATGGTATTCTAAATCAAGTAAATTATACAGAACGTATTTTGATGTGAACGTGAAACATGCATGACAGTATATTTGCGTACTTAACAACCATATATATATATATATATAACATATTATATATGTTAGAGCTAATGATATAATAACAGTAATACGTTATTTGTATATTTATCTCTAGAATGTATTCATGTATTATGTATAACTAGATAGTTACGAATTTACGATTGCTGTTTTCGAGTATAGTTTGGTTGTGTCAACTTTACTGTCAATTAATAAACGCATTGCGTAAGGTAATTATTTCATCACAACATAATATTCCGAGCGATGTGTTTGAAAGATAAAAATACGTATAGTCACAACCCTATCTGTAGTTAATTGTTGTAATAAATTTTTTTTTTTTTTTTTGGTCGTATGAACATCAAAATTCCTATTTTGTATTTAATTTGTGAATAAAAAATATTTTATTTGTTTTATGTAATTAATTGGTCGTTAACCAATAATATTCCGGTACTTGTCAATCTATTTAATTTATTATAGGTAAATCGATAAAATTAACAGTTAAAATACTGTGGGTCCCGATATATTTTTATTGGAATATACCAAATAATTTGAACGACCCAGGAATAAGAATAAAAATAGAAAATAAGAATAGTGTTCAAATTGACGTAGCATGTAACTAGTATTTCATAAAAAGCGATCGGAAATTTTTGATTACACGCTGAAAGAAATATTTTAGTAATATTAGTCGATCATCCATATCCACTTATAAACCTACAGTAGTGTAGTAAGTTGATATTATTATATAGTATTATCCATTCTTAATATTAATCACTAATGTTGACCACGGACCATCAAAATATTGAATTACATGCTTAGACGTTTACAAATAGAGAGTGTCAATTAACATGGATGAAATAAATATTAATTAAAATAATATATGAACATTTCTTTTAAATATAACACTGTATTACTGTAGGTGTAGTAAATAATAATTTGAACTATTATTAAATATTAGTATAATTAATCAATATACCACAACAAATATGTTTTACTTTTACATATTGTCATATAAGGCGTAAACTTATAACGTGAAAATAAAGGAGATTTTTGTATGTTCATATCGTTACAATAAGAAAAATCGGAAACTATGATTTATTATAATGTACATAAAATTCAGATTTCAGAAACAATGTTACACAAAATTGTTACTACATTATAATTACGCATAGGTAAAATCTTGAATTGTAGTTATTCTCAATAATATTTTATAAATGGTGGCATAGATTGATTAGATATGGACACTTATCGTTTGTTTTACACCTTTTTTGATCTCAAGAGGTTCTTATTTGTGTATTATATATTCAAGTATAGAACTACAAGCAACCATACCCTGGATGTGTCTAAAATAGGTCCGGGACCGAGGTTTATAAGATAGTCAATAATCGCTCAATAATCTTGTTAGTGAAATGCCTAGGAGCTAGTCTTGGTTTTGGGCCATAATCTATTTGTATTTTAACTAACCGGACAAATTCCGTCTGGATGGTGTTTATTATTATTTACCTTACTGATAGATACCCCTCCCCAGTGCTGTTAGAGATGAGATTTTGGTAGAGCGAGTCACTATTCTGATGATAATGGTTGATGTAAGACATGTTGAAATGTTATAATAGGTAAAATCATTCAAAGTAAGTTGAATGATGTTACGAATAGGGTATTTTAAACTTTTAAGTGATTAATTTACCATCGATTCTTTTTTATGATAAAAGTTCAACGAATGTCAATAAAAAAAAATGAATTGTGACTATAAAATGTGACTATAGAGAAGTTCATTAAGCTTGTAAAAACTTTTAATTGTTTAATTTTCAATAGTTGTGAAGAATTATGCACAAACCAATTGAGTTTTATTTTATAAATTATTTAAAAGTATTGTTCTTATTTTGATTGCATAATAGTACAACTTTATTATTTTGTATTCTATTAAATCAGCCAACTAATAATTCAAAAAACAAGAATAATTAATTTTATATTCTCGGAGTGGAGTTTTTCCAATAATATATTGCGTGAAACTAGAATTATGAATTGTATTTTGTATATGTTTATTGTTTGTACTAAATATCAATTTATAACTCTATAATATTACAAGTTTTTATCAAGACTTTATTACAGTACACTTTTCTTAGTGAATTTATATGGGTGATGTTCAAACTTCAAATTAAAAATAGTTTTTGTATTTCAAAAGTTATGTAGATAGTTAATTAACTATTTTCATGAACTTCCATACATTTTTGAAACCGTATAATTTAATTGCTCAATAAATGTTTTGTAATTTACATTAATATTTTAGTTTATTGCAATTTTTAATTTTGCAATTGTCAATTTAGTTATATAAATTTAAAAAAATTATTCTTGTGTTGCAGCATCCAAATATTTGAATACTATAAAGAAACTGAAGAAATTAATGGATCCAAAAGCAGCTCAAGAAGATGATAAAAAGGATAAGGCAATGGAAAGTCAATAAATAGTATTAATAATTACGATCTTTAAAGTTGGTTAAATAAATATTTAAATACATTGAATATATACTAAATTTAATAAAACTTGGCAATAAATGGCTTACAAAAACCTATATAATAATCAATATTATTGTTAATTTATCATTTTTCTCAGAAATTAGATTATTGTTGATAATCCATCAATACATAACATTATTGTTTATAGTTTAGTTCATCTTATAATTTAAAACATGTTTCCTTAGTTAAACATTTTCAATATTAATATTTCTTAGTATTTTTTGTTTACACATAAAACAATAAAAAAAAGAAATATGAAAGCTTAATAAATATTACATAAATTAAGTCCTGCTATACTTTTTAGTTTTTTTTAGTATATATTTTTATAATATAATATATTTGTAAAAAATAAGTGTAATTTACGGAAATTTTATTATCTGTGCTTATATCTTTTAAATTTTTTTTATCTAATAGTCTAAGCTGTAAAAATTGATAATTATAATCAATTATATTTATCATGTTGCGTTGCTTAAATCAAATCATAATTTAAAATATATAAATTAATTTTAACATTATTTAAGGTCACTATTAAGTAATGTGTTGGATGTATGAGATATAGTTTAAAAATTAATTAATTTAAGATCAGTTTTACATTTATGATTAATGTGTACTTATAGAGCAATGGTATCTTTAATAATTAATAGCGTACTCAATTTTTTTATAAATTCTCCAATCTTATAAATCACACAAGTTGAATATGAGGTATGATTGTAACGGGTACGCAACTTATTACTTTTTGGTACAAAAATGAGAATTTCAATTTAGGATATTTAAGTAGCTTAGGATTCTTAAACTACTTAGGCACATTTGAAATTAAAAGCATCAAACGTATTATATTTCTTTCATAGACAGGGGTGGATTTAAGGTACTGCGAACTATGCAGCCGCATAGGGCGACGCTTTTTATACGTAGTAAAATTGTATTTAATATTTATTTTATTCTTGTACCTACCTATAGAAAAATACTTAATTTTTTTCTTAAATTTTTCAATTTCAAAATAAATAACTAACAATAAAATTACTTATATAACCAAATAATTATTTAATGCATTTATTATTTTTTTCTTGTATAATAAGAATAAAGAGAAAATACTATATTTGAATCAAAAGTTTTTTATTGAATTTTAGTTAAATGAAAAAAATAATTGCATAATACATAGAAAATGTTATCATGTAAGGAAATTTTGTTGTACAGAGGTGATTTTTTTAAAAATAAGGACGATAATTTTTTTTTTTTTGGCATAGGGACGGCTAATTGTTAAATCCGTCCTTGTTCATAGAAATATTTAACTAAATTATATTTTTGTGGTTATGGTAACTTTACAGTTCGATTAGTGTGTACCAAATTTAAGAATATTTTAGAAAAATATTAACTAGTTTTTATGTCTGAAGTAGTTTCATTGTGTTTAACATATTATAATCAAGAAGTTTATTTAACCATTGACATAGATTGTGATTTTAATACTGTACGTGTTTGATAACTTTGTTTATTATAATATTAATCAAAACTATACGACAATGTCCAAATTGACATTTTGCTTGAAAAGGTTTTTCAAAACAAAATCTAATATGTATTTTAGTAATTTTGCTCCCACAATGTAAATATTTGATATTAATAGTATCTTGGGCGATATTTTCTGCTATACGATACACAGTCAATATTAATTTAAACATTTTAAATTTAATAATATAGAATATATATAATTAAATACTGCGAAATATTAAAATTCTATTAGAAGTAAAAAATATTATGCAAGTAGACATATATAATGTATATGTATTTATCAGTAAATTTACATATATAGGTTTTGATTGAGAGATTCTCATATATTTAATTTAATATTAAAGAGAACGTTTCGTTAATTTTTTGGACAATTCAAGTATTATTATTTACGACCGATGAATTCCATTTTTTTCTTTGAATAGAAATACTTATCGATTCAAATTCGAGTGTTAAACGAAAATGGTAGCAAACCGCACTCATATGATATTTTTCACATAGGAAAAGTATGCTTGTCACAAACCATATTTGTTTAAACGACGATGCGAAATGGTGTTCTTTAGAATTGGTAAACGGTGAAAGAAACACAGTGTTTCAATTTTATCTGAGGAGTACCTAATTTAATTAAATATTATTGAATTAACAATGTGATGCGTATTATAGTATCGTTAAGAGTACGAGTTTTATCAAAATGTTTTGTTATATTTGAATAGCTGTAAGTACTTGAGAAATACTGAAATAAAATTCGTTTAAATTTACCGCATTTACCGAGAATTTATTAAGAAAAGTGTTTATTATTAATAAATGAGAATTTTAATTAAAAAAATTGACCTTTTAAACAATTTACGAATATTTCTGATGAAAATTCTTTGAAAAATCTCGATGTTTTTAATTCTTGTATAATATTAACTCTAGAATTTACAATTTGCCATATTGCTTTAATATATTGTTTACATATTTTTTAATAGTAAAAATCATAAATAAATAATATTATATTATTTAAATGAATCTTTATTCATCGATAAACTATAATTAATCAAATTAGCGTTCGCGAACCTTATTATTATTAAAATTAATTTTGACCTAATTTGGATAGCACCAATTTATCAATGCCATTACAAGACTTTAATACCTACTTGACTTGATGTATTACAGATTTTATACTTGTATAAAATATATTCTTTAAATAATATTCTTTTTGGTCTTGTAGATTTTGTTTTATTGATTCATTTTTTTGACAACATTTTCACCGAAAAAAAAATATACGAATTTATTGAAAACATGATTATAGGTTACAAACATTTGATAGATATCAATCGTGTGTCTCTGTATAATGTTTTGTCAAAAATAATAAATGTACAATATTGTAATCGATAAACGTTGAACTGTTTTATTCACATCATTCAATGTATTATTATTTTCAAAATTTCAAGCATATTATCAAGTCTATTTTATGAAGCTATTATATATTGTGTTGGCTACTACTCAAAGAACATTCATCTGTGTCTTTGTCCGTTTTATAAAACAATACTTCATTCTATTAATTGATATCATTATAAATTAGTATTGTCAATTCGGTTAACTCCTTATTTTCTTGATCTATATATAATTTTAAAGTACAAAAATGATAAAAAAAAAGCAATTGAACCTCATCATAATATGTAAATACTCAAATAATAAAACCATACAAATGAAATTTTATAACAAATCTGTAAATAATTATGTAATATAAATGAAGAGAAAATATTAAAAATGGTAAACTATAGATAGATATATTTATAGGCAATATAAGTTTTGGTAAGAAATAAATTATATAAATTTTTACACAGAATGGACATTTTGTGGTAGGATAGCAATGAAATTATAATAGGGTCAAGTGGACCGAACGTGGGTGTGCTTATTCTTGTAAAATATTAATTTCAACGACTTTATGCTTACGTTCATATTTTTATTATACTCCATTAATTTTACACTTGAAGTGGATTTTAGGGATAGCTACTATTATTAGTAAGGTCTGGAACTTTGGAATATATTGTAATGACGTGTGTGCTGACGGGTCTAGTAGTCGCGGGCGTATTAACGTATTAACATGTTGCACTATAACGTAATCACAACAATTATTATTTGAAATCACATTAGGATAAGCAAATAGTATTAACAATATAATTAATAAGATCACAGCGTTTTATGTGTTGTGTTAGATTATTTTAAACAATAAGTTGTATAGTAAATTTAGTTTTTACTATTTACGTTGTATATTTTGTAATATCATACTTTTAATATTTATTGATAAACTAAACAAAACTAATATCACGTAAATAAAATTATATTGAAAACAACTCTAAAATAACAAACATTTTGTGAATGTATGTGTGGATATTTTGCATTTTGCAACAAACCATAAGGTAATATTATAACATCATTTATAAATAAATGCATTCATAAATTTATTATAAATCATTATGTTTAATTTATAGAGCTATATGACTTATACGTTTTATTATATTATACTTTATAACTTTAGAGCCTATTCGGAGATAGTTTGAAATTGATTTTAAACGATTTTAAATATTGTTTTATTAAATAAAATACGTGTATATATTTTGGGATCATAAATACAACAGATTGAAAAAGTTATTTATTTTAATCACCAATCATATTTATAATACCAGTGTACAATAAATATCTAAACAATAAAAAAACATTCATAAGATCAGTATATTTTAAATTTATTAGTAGGGCTCAGAAATTGATGACTTTAAAAACATCAAAAAATGACTTGATTAAAATACAAATATTTGTTAAAATATTTGTATTTAATAAAAAAAATACAAATATTTGTTATAAATTATTAAAAATACACTTTTTTTTTTTTTTAGAATTTTAAATCTATAAAATTCTTTATACATTTATCAAAGTTTATAAATTACTCAAAATTATTGTATTATATTATTAGAGTATATTTGATTTGTCAAAAGTAAATGAACGACGATTATTGGTTAATAAATATTTATTCTTGAAAAACCTTATCTCCACGTCCGTCGTCCACTGAAGTGGTTGAAGTAAATTTGAAACTGGCCATATTTTCAGTAGGTATTGAAGTTATTCAGAAAATACTCACTTCAAACTGTTTCACCATTTAGAATTTACGAAATTGTTTCCATTATTTGAAATCCAGTGTTTTTGTCAAGTACTAATTTGTAATTTCAAGTTTTAAGTTATCAGCCTAATGGTCGACAAGAAACAATAAGAAGTGATCTAGTGGGAAATCAGTAAAAATGACAGTTTGCAAATGCTTAATATGTTATCGAGTCTTTATTTTTATCTAATCTGTATATAGCTTATGTAAAATATTATTTTATGAAATAAAAATTTGATGTATCTATATATACTTAATTTTGAGTAAAACAAAAGCTATGTGTAGGTACAAAGATTTTAATTGATGGAATTTGATTAAAAGTACAAGAAATTGAACTAAAAAGGAAAATATGACCTAAAAAGTAAAAAAAGTAAAAAAATGCAAAAAAAAATGCTAAATAAAAATTAGTTATTCAAATGTACATGTTAATGAAACACATTTGTGGTCAGGAGAGTATCGTTTAATTAGTTCCAAAAAA